TTGTCCATTAAGTCAAGGGTAACCAGTATATCACAAACATGATTTAAATGTCCAAAATCATCATGAACCATGTAGAATAGTGGGTAAGGCGTTAGTCTCAATCTCAAAGCAGTATGATTTGTCGGATTTTTATTGCTATAGTGTTCGAAACTCACTAGAACCATCTAGTATTTTTATATAAGAAACATTTTTTACGAGATATTTTTTTCTCAGAAAAGGTATTTTTCTAATAATTCAATAAAATTCAATAATGAGAAGTTGATCTATTAAATACTCAATTCAAATATTGAATATGATTTCTAAAAAATTGTTGCTATAGGTATTATGCCCGCCTTGTTCCCACATTTTCTTTTGTTTTCCAACGACAAGGAACAGAAAACGGATATTTGGAACTGTAAAATATGAAGAACCACAGTTAAGTACTTAAAAGTAAAGTATTTAAAAATAATATAAGAAATCATTTTTTATGTACAAGTTTTATGTAGTTATAAACTTGGGTTTTTAAAATTGCTAATTTGCGCATTCCTCACGAAGCTGTTATGTTTGCTGAAGACTTCAGCAAACAAAATTGTACACAGGAAGAGTTTTCTTGCAGGTTATTGTCGCTAGCTGCGATGTTGCGGCCGACATTACAACTATTGCTATATTATCTTGCAAGAACTCAAAATGTTTGCAGGAACATTGCAAGAAACACACATGCCTCTATATACAGCAGCAACAAGTTTGTTGGAAACATTAAATTTGACAAACCGAAGGTTTGCAGGAAGCCCCCATGAACGTAAACAAGTCAAACCAGCCAAATGAAATGTAGAATGTACCTATAAATATTTGAATTGAAGTTGAAGATATCTCGGTATTTTGGTAGAAAAATAGAGTATATTTCATTTTAAATGATTACAAAGGCGCTTAATTAGGTACATGTACATGTATATACAATGTCGCACACAACGTCTGGCTGGTAAAATACGGTTTTGTTGTCATCTCTCACGAGAGATGACACATTAAGTTTGATTTCCGGATGTGACGTCCCATTACTGCAGTAGAAGCTGCCATTTATCAATCGGCAATCCTCGCCTGATTCCACTACGCTCGAAACAAAAAAGTGTGAGGCCACCCGAGGATTACCGACTGGTCAGTTTGATGATGATGCGATTTTCTAAATATAGATCGAGATGTAAACAATGAGCTAAAATCTGCCTTATTATTGAGAAAGAAAAGCTGCACAGAAATCATAGAGATTCAGACACACATCGCCTGGGTGGTTGGGGTTCATCAAAATATACATGTATGTACACTGTATGTTCTTCTTGGCTATTACATTATAAATGATGATCAGAACTCGATAGAATCTTCGAACTAGGTCAGCGCGTGTGTAAAGATCCTCTGCGGCCGACGCGTGGATCCAAGAATTCACAGAAAAACAACATATTAAGCGATTGAATGTATTAAGAGTAAAGAAATGTCAGAAATTAAAAGCACATCTTATCATGTTATTAGCGGATACATTAATGTCCATAAGAAAATGCAGGCATTGGAAGATTAAATTTATTATAAGATCACAAAGAATCTATATGAGTCTTTTTTTGCATGTCTAATCAATTTTTAATGAGTTTTCATGTTTATAATTAAAGAACTTAAATAAGAAATTAAAGCAATCATTTTCTTTATGCAGTTTGAATTGCATTTATGGCAAAGAAGACATCAAATTAATTCTCCTATATTATTGAAATGAAGCCAAAATAATAATAATACAGAATCGTTTAAGTTTAGTATGCAGAAAAAGTTTACTAAAGCACGAAAATATACTCACCGTCAATAGAAACGCAACACCCGAATTTAAGGGGTGAAAATTATGTACGGGATATAACTATGTACCAAAAAAGTTAGGACATCTTTTACTTTGCCAAATCAGTTATTTAACGGTTGAATGATTTTCATTCCATTACCGGAAGTTGATTTTTAGCCCCCTGAACAGAAATCAAAAATTAGCATTTTTAATAAAATTATTGACAATATTTTGGGTTTTCAAGGTTTTGTACCTGTTAATCATAAGTCTTGTACTAAAAGTCCGGAAAAATATCCTTCTTTCTTTTTCCGGATGTGATGCCTGTATTTCCTCAAAGTAACTGAAAGCACGCATTTTCATTGCTTATGTTGGAAATTCTCAAAATAAAGAAAAGCGAGAGCTACAGATGCAAATATACACTACATAACGACTTTTCGGTCCCATGTGTTTCAAAAGCATGAATGACAGTTCCTTGACCGGAAGTCCAAGGGTTACTTCACTACGCCAAGTTAGAGAAAATTCGAGCTCAGTATCTGAAAAACAGGCATTTAAAGATGCACAAGAATATTTATTTCACTCAGGTTAAGACATTGATAAACCTACTGCATGGTAGAATTCGGGCTGTGTTTGTTGTACCTGGCGGACTAGGACGTTTTAATTGAATGGTCGGAAGGGGGGGATGTTTTAAAAGTTATGTGTTACTTTCTAAGGTCTAAAGATAACATTTGAAGTTTAAATGAAGTATCATTGTTTTGTAAATTTACTTTTTACATTTATGTATTCATTCTTAATCTTTTCTTTAAACCTTAAAAAGTAACACATAACTCTATACCATCCCCCTTCCGACCATTCAATTAAAACGTCCTAGTCCGCCAGGTACAACAAATACAGCCCGAATTCTACCATGCAGTAGGTTTATCAATGTCTTAACCTGAGTGAAATAAATATTCTTGTGCATCTTTAAATGCCCGTTTTTCAGATACTGAGCTCGAATTTTCTCTAATTTGGCGTAGCGTAGTAACCCTTGGACTTCCGGTCAAGGAACTGTCATTCATGCTTTTGAAACATATGGGCCCAAAAAGTCGTTATGTAGTGTATATTTGCATCTGTAGCTCTCGCTTTTCTTTATTTTGAGAATTTCCAACATAAGCAATGAAAATGCGTGCTTTCAGTTACTTTGAGGAAATACAGGCATCACATCCGGAAAAGAAAGAAGGATATTTTTCCGGACTTTTAGTACAAGACCTATGGTTAACAGGTACAAAACCTTGAAAACCCAAAATATTGTCAATAATTTTATTAAAAATGCTAATTTTTGATTTCTGTTCAGGGGGCTAAAAATCAACTTCCGGTAATGGAATGAAAATCATTCAACCGTTAAATAACTGATTTGGCAAAGTAAAAGATGTCCTAACTTTTTTGGTACATAGTTATATCCCGTACATAATTTTCACCCCTTAAATTCGGGTGTTGCGTTTCTATTGACGGTGAGTATATATATACTTGTCTATACATACTGCACATTAATTTGGAGGATCACTAATGACACAAGACTGTCGTAAGTTCGGGGTTTCTTAATGAGAACTTTTTCCAGATAATTTGTAAATACTTAATTTTAGTTGATAGCATTTAAATGTTACAACTTACCTAATTTTAAAAGCATGTGTGCTTTATTTCTTTGGATAACCTAAGTGTGTAAAAACTATGTGTGTAAAGGAAGATTTCATACTTCAAGACCGCAGAACATTAACTGACAAGATTGGAAATATTCAGCTATATATGGAAATATGTCATTTCTATCTGTTACAATCAAAACATTTATGACATACAATGAAATTGAAATTATTTTTCTTTTGGATCATACATTCACACTTAGTTTTTGAAAACAGCTCGATGGATTGAAAATGAATTTTAAACTAGAATTTCAATCAAATGTTTTCTGTTGTAATTGTTTACTGCAAGCCCCTCCGTTTTCCACATTGTATAGTCATGTACTCCCAAAAGAAATTTGTTAAAATATTTCCTTTCTAGCTATATACACAACATAGGATTTTGGAGTTTGATGATTAAACTTTTTTTTCTTTATCTAATATTGTTCAGGTAAACTGTCTCTCCCCTTCCCTAGAGGAAGAGAAAAAAAACTGTAATAGCTGAGAAAAAAGTTACACGTCACTGTTTATTCTGTGTCATTAAAGAAGCCAAAGAGATGACATTTCAGGCTCTCTGGAAAGCCAAACTTGTTTTAATTATTTTTATTATAAGACTAACGACAATAGCTTTTCAATCGTCAATTTTCCTTACTTATGCAGGAAAATACCTTCTTCACATACATACAGGATGAATGACTCTCTGTTGATTCGATAGGAAAGAGGTAAGGTTTTCTAAAATTTCTAAAATGAGGTAAATAATTGACAAAAAAATTGACGAAACAAGAATATCAACATTTTTGTTTTTAAGTTATCATTTCTTTATTTCTATAGAATGTCCCTGTCAGGAAATAATTTTTTTCTTTGATTCAAATGCTGATTGACTTTCTCCCCATTTATTTATTAGGCCATCCATCATTTGCAAACACTGAATTGTCGACATCGTCGGAAACCCACGGCTGATTACGCTTCGTTCATGAAGAGAGGAACGAAACGTAATCAGCCGTGGGTTTCCGACGATGAATTGTCGAATTATTATTTTTTTTTTTTTTCACAGTCAATATATAGCCTTTTATATCAAAAGGGGAAACCACCAAATGAAAGTAAATGAATGTTATAAATAGTCAAAATTAGTATATCAATTAGGTCTCCGTCATAGCTATAAACAACTTTGCCGTCTGTTGTCACAGTTGCATCGGTTGTCACAGTTGCCGGTAATAGGGTGTGATTTCAGCACCAGAGAAATCCTACGATCCTTTATGTTTTAGGAAATTATTTTACACACATATCGTTTGAATAAGATGGTGTATATTACACATTGGATGTTTATTTACTTATAACCTTTTCTGAGCTTGGTCCTTCATTAGCTGTAACATTGAGATAAGATTTTTTGCTGATAAAACTATTCGTGAATTTGTTTAATTATATTTTCATAACAAGACTTATGAAAAAAAAAATCAAATTTCTACTTCTCTTAAATTAAATTTTATTAAAATTTTATATGTGCACATCCTCTTGAACGTAAAATAAACGTAGAAAAAATAAGAAGAGCGAAGTAACAGACTTACCCTGTTCTTCAATACTTTTACTTTTATTTTGTTCAAGTGAATTTTTCTTCTCTGTTTCTGTAACTGTAACTGTATCTAAATTAAGAACACTACATTTATTAATCCAGTTTATAATTAGAAAACATATTTTCGAAATATATTTCTTATTTTATTTTGAGCTATGTTAATACTACCTGGTTTAAAAAATTGAAAAAATATTCTGATGCTTAAATCAGGCATCAGTATGTTTTCAGATCTTATGTAACATTAGAAACGAAACAGTTTCACTAGTCATGCTAATGTTGATCACATATTTGTAGTATCACAGTTTCAAGTAGGTGATATTTATATAATTTGAATAATGAGAATAATGACAAAAACAAAAAAACATAAAGGTATTCCTTAATTAACTACCTAACTCTTTTGTGGTACTTCGATCAGTTAGTAAAACATCTTCCTCACCACATCCACCTTTCAAAAAAGAAAGAAAAGTGTTATATTTTCTTATCGCTTGGATTTCATTTTAATCTTCAAATGAGTGGTGCATAGTATTTATGGTAACACAAAACACCTTTGAATACTATTTTAACTTTTTTCTTAATTTTTCTAAAAGGAAAAGAAGAAAAAAGAATTAAATCACGGATACGTGTACTAGTATAGGGTATCTATATTCTTTATGTACTATAAACGTTATCTAAAGACAAAAAAGAGTCAAATATGGTAACGTAATCTGGTACTTTTTTTCACAATTAAGAACAAGGTGGGGTAACTTTCAAATTTCGCCCATTATATATAATTATATGATGTAAAAAAAAAACAAATCATTGGTAAAATTTTGATAGTTCGTAGTTAAGAACTTGAAATGATTCTTGCTTTAAATCCAGTACCAAACTGGATTCAAAACACATGGAACACTGGAGGGTGCAGGAGTAGAACATTTTTTCCAAAATATCATCAATTCTGGTAGAATTCCATTATATTTGAGATACTTTTCTCTTCGGGTAACATTGAGCTCAAGCTTGCCTATTTGCGTTTTTTTTTTTACATAATTTGGTAAATAGGCAAATTTATGCTCTATGTTTTCCGAAAAGAAAAGTATTTCACATACTATGTAATATAATTCTACCAGAACTAAAGACAAAAAATGTGCGGTTAAATTTCTTTCGTACTATAAGAAATGACACATTTTGTATAACCTAGACCAAAATATCAAAGTTTTAGAAAAAAATGAATATGAGGAAATGTTTCGCCTATCTTTTGTGCACTACCTTAAAAAAATATTTAAAACCATTTAATACTGAATCTGATTCTATACAAAAAGCAAGCTGTACGTGAATTTAAGCCTCTTTTCCTCCTGTTTGCCAGTCTTTTTCTACTAATAATAATGGTTATGACTGTGAGGATGATGAGAGTGAAGATAACAGCAGTCACAATCCCAATAATTTCTCCAACATTGAAGGATTCAGTAGATGTATTTATTGTAGTCGTGCCCACGCATGAACTATCAGAGATGTAACAATTGAGCCGTGTATTAATCTTTTGACAGGCAGAATCTTGAAAATAGAACAAAACACATTAATTCTGCTTAAAATGTTTTCATAGAGTCAATATAATTGCAATTTTTTTGATAAGTTCAGACAAATTGAAATATAAGATCTTTCAATTTGTTTTGTTATTAAAAAAAGATTTTACAGGACATTCTTGTTAAATACCAAAATTAAATCAATCGTGTTTCATAGATACACCTTACGAGATTAAAACAAAAACATATTTTTCCGACTCAATTTTAAATATCAGACACATATTAAAGTCACTTAAGTTTATAAATGTTGGAAAATTTAAGTTCCAATGTTCCAAGTTTGAATGTAAATATATATAATCAAATATCATGTAAATCTACACTACATCTTATATGTTTTAGCTCAGGTACGCCATATATAGCTTTAAGCAATTACAGTTGAAATTTGTACTCACAATTAAATATTTTATTGCTGCGATAAGGATAATCTGGACATCCCATTACAAAGCTCGAACAATCTCTTTGAAACAGTTTTCCCTCTGAAGTTTCCAAGCAATTACCTATATAACACAATAGACAGACATAAGTCTTTTCAGTTAAATTCACACGAATCAGAAAAACATGATTCGAAATTTCATATTTTTAAAATTTTTGGTGACGTCTTTCAGTGTAAAATAATTAAGAAATAAAGTCTGCGTTTTCGTGAATGTTGCAGAATAACCTCCAAGGTCGAGAAATGTTTGAAAGATAAAAGCCGAGGCGCTTGCCGAGGCTTTTATATTTCAAACAACATTTCGAGACCGAGGAGGTTATTCTGCAGCATTCACGACAACAAGGACTTTATTTCTATTCTTCCACGTATGGTACAAACGTTAAATTAAGGATATTCGTTTCCTCTTTAGAGAAACGAATTAGGTCACCATGTCTTCATTACGCTGTTTCATTTAACACCAGAGGCAAAATTTGTTTGCTTACCTGTGTATAGAATGCAGACGATTTGAGCTTTCGTTACATTAAAAATAGCCTTTTTACAAATTACAAATATCAAATATGTTCATAATATGTATTGATAAGTTAAAATGAATATACAATAACAAAATCATGTTCCTGTTTTACTGCTAAAATCACGTTGTTTAATGTGTAGGGAGGTCCGTGGAATAGCCCCGCTTACCCAGATAGCAAGACTATGTTGGGCCAACATTGCAAAAGGTTGTATGGTTGGCGTTGGGGAAACAACGTTGGGCCAACGTTGTACCAATGTAACCATGCCAACCTTCTCGACCATGACAGAATTCCTATGTTGGCCCAACGTTGGTCCAACGTTAGCAACTTCCATTCACTTTACTTCCAAAGGAAGGAAGGATGTTGATGTTGGCCCAACGTTGGCCCACTGTTTGTAATACACCCTTAAAGAAAGTGTCTTTTAAAGTTGTTAGTAGTATGTTGGCCCAATGTTGGCCCGATGTTTGTTATACACCCATAAAAAGAATGCGTCTTATCAAGTTGATAGTAGTATGTTGGCCTAACGTTGGTCAAATGTTTGTAATACATACTTAATAAAGTGTCTTATCAAATTGGTAGTAGTATGTTGGCCCAACGTTGGCCCAATGTTTGTTATACACCCTTAAAGAAAGTGTCTTAGCAATTTGGTAGTAGTATGTTGGCCCGATGCTAGCACGAGTGTTCTATTGTTTAGGTGTTTCAAAGATGGGATATTTATCTTGGGCCAACGCTGGCCCAATTATTTTACTGCCAACTAAAGATGGTGTCAATTTTAGCTGCTGAGCTGACATTCTATGTCCATGCTTTTAATTGGATGACTGTTTTTGTTTAGATCTGATATATTCAGCATTTTAAATTTTAACTTAAGTGATCAAAGCACAAAAGAGTGTTTTATTTTACTTTTTGAATTGTTCACATGCATGATTATTTATTTGAAATAAAACCTTTGAAATTATGAATTTTTTCATGAGCGTTGTATTCATGAGAATTTAGAGAAGTCTGAATAAGCTCTCAGGAATAGGATGTGAATGAAGCCCACATATACATAAATCAAAATGACAGTGTGACAGCTTTATAATTAAATTGAAACAAAAGTTAGGGTTTGCTAACACGTGACCAAACTGTGGAGTGAGCTGTCAGATTCAATTGCTCACAGGTGGTGATAATGGAGGGCAAGAAAGAAGAAGTGAAATTTAAATTTGTGGATTATACACTTGCTATATAGCTGCATTTAGAAGCGATGTAAGAATATTTATTCTTATATATTCAGGTTAACTGTTAAATTTGATTCGGAATTCATTCTTTTCATGTTTTTGCACACAAGCACTGTACGTAAAGGTTAAATAACATCTTTTAAGTTGTTTCTATCTATCTAATTCTTAACTGTCTTTTACAGACACGATTGTAATAAAGAAATTCAGTCAGAGAATGCAAGGTAAACAAATGTGGTGGCGGTAAATAACAATGAAATCGAAGACCATTCATAAAGAAGTGCATAAAGTACGAGTCCGTATGACAAAGATCAAGATGAAGAAAACGGGAGGCGACGAAGGGACGGAAAAAGAGCGGGAATACAAAAAAGGACAGTAATAAAGGAAGTGAGCCCTGATTAAGAACTTTGAATTGATAAATTTTCATAATTTACCTCTATTGTCTATTCTAAAATTTATTTGTAAATTATGATTGAATTGATGTATATAAAATATTATCACAGTGAATCATTAGTAATGTTTTCATTGAACATGTCCATGTATGCATTATGAATGCAGATTGACTTGTGTATTAATTATTTTAAACAGTCATAAAATAGGTTTATGTAAAGAATCACCTAACCAATTGCAAATGTTTCTATGTAATAACTACGTTGGCCCAACAATTTGCCATCTGACATTGTAAAAAAGGGTCAACATTCGGCCAACCTAACCAACCAGTTGTTAAGGTTGGCTGTTAGTTGGCATACACTTAAAACTACGTTGGCCCAACAATATGCCATCTGACATTTCACCATAGGGCCAACATTGGGTCAACCTAACCTAATAGTTGTAAAGGTTGGCTGTTAGTTGGCATACACTTATAACTACGTTGGCCCAACAATATGCCATCTGACATTTCAACAAAGGCCCAACGTTGGGCCAACCTAACCTACCAGTTTTTAAGGTTGGATGTTAGTTGTCATACAATTATACTTACGTTGGCCCAACAATATGTCAACATGTTGGACCAACGTTGGGCAGATGAGCAAAATTACCGTCGGCCAACGTAAGGTTACCAACCGTGAGCCAACGTTGGAAAAAAAATTGGGCCAACGTTGGCCAAACTATGTCTTGCTATCTGGGTTAGCTATAAAAACCGACATTCATCAGCAACTTGATGCAATTTACAGTGTTTATAATGCAAAAGACGACACATCAATGCGGTCTAAACATGTATTTCATTCTACAGCCAAACATGCATTTGAATTCGTTCAGATTTGATACGTGTTTCTGATCTGATAATTTTTTGATGATGTTCATGATTTATTGGAGAATAATGTCCGGCGGTTTCCTTTGATGTTTTGATTAATCGTGGTAGAATTGTATTTATACAACATATTACTACCTGATCAACACACAGGGCTTATAGCGGACGTAAAGGGTAGACAATGGATGCTTATAGATCCTAGGCACCTGATTCTACCTCTATAGAACTTCCGTTCTATACCTTGTTCACGGCTTTAAGATTTTGAAAATGATCTTTGATCGTTCAGTTTTCCCTTAAAAATGACTTTTGTTTTCAAAGTGGAAACATGTTAAAATATCCTTCTTTCAGGGTACTTTTAACGTAGCAGAAAATAACTTTTGATTGTGAAAAAAAAGAAACATATGAAAAGTTTACTTAGATTAATTGTTAGAAAATTATCGTCTATATATAAAGTTTTGTGTATGTTGATATCAATTCGCATACCCTTTTCTATAAAGCCCATGATACCATTATGACATAGTTCTACCAGTCCTGTCTTCTCTATGTTGGGGAGACAGATATACTGATCATTCCCATACTTGTCCTGTCCACAGCCCAGCCTTAAAGTTGCTTTGATCACTTCTGTGAGATTTGAGGGACATGAATCGACAAAGTCATCCATACCTGCCAAGAGAAATTTTTCTATGAGTAAATAATAAAATAAGATTAAACAGTATTAAGTTCTAGAATTGGAAGATTATCATTTCAGTCTGCTATACATGAAAAATTTTAATCTTAAAAAAATCTTTAAAAAACAGTCATGCAGATAAATTTGCATTAAAATATATCAAAATACAATCCTCCCTCTTGATGGGCCAACATTACAATTCTGATATCTACAAACTCTGATGTACCTGACTTAATAGTAATGCTGATGAGGTCTATTAGCTGTTCGTGTAAACTTCAACATATTCAAATATATATAATTTTCTTGTTCACAGACCCTTACCTTTACTCTTTAAGCAGAGACCTGTATCGTGTGTCAGCATTCACCATCTTTTTTCCTGTGAAAACAATATTAGGGTTGTACTTGCATTTTAAATGCACTATGGAAATCACTGAACTGAGAATATAAATTGCCGTGTAGAGAGCGTTTTAAATGCCCTGAATACTTCCCTGTATGTCTCTTTTTACAAATTTACCTTGTTGTGTAAAATAACGTGTTTTATTTGCTTGAATAAATTAAATATCGAGTAATTCAGACTAAGCCTCACAAGATGGTGATCTAAATATAGATTATTCAGAAAACATGTGCACTTCTCGGTAATGAAATATACAAGAACCTGAGTACATCTGTGCTTTTTAATGAAAAATTAAAATGAATTGTATAAAGTCCATATTTGTTACTATTGCACTTTTGCTTGAGGTCTGATTTTCTTTTATCGAGGGGTATAACTGTATACCAATTTTCATTTCAATATGTGTAATCTAAACGAAAAAAAATGAATGGAAACTACTGGTTGACCGGTGTAACGTTGATATTTGACCCAAGTTGAAAATTGACCAGAGGGTCATTTTTCAACGTTGAATACTAAGACCAATAGTGTTGAATTTAGACCAATAGTCCGTTGAAAACTGAGCCGGGTTGTAGAATTTTGATCATGAAACCGGTTCTAAATTCAACAGCATAAAACACATATTAATGACTTGGTTTTATCAACTGTGATTTAACCCATATGCGTCTGGAAGGGGGGGGGGAGAGGGGTGGGGAGCTATAGATGCTTAGCCCCCCCCTTTTGTACATAGGATGATAGGTTTAACCGGTCAGCAGGGAATGCTCCTCAATGGCACCTGATCCCACCTCTGATGTTTCGGAGGTCCGTGTTTGCTCTGTTCTTATTTTGTATTGTTTAATGGACTTTGATAATTGATTACTGTTCGTTATCTCCATACCCTTCTTGTATCATTCTTGAAAAGGGAAAAAAGTGAAAACGAAATATAAATATAGATAAACTGATGAATCCCGTAAAACAACTTCCCAGTTCAAAAAAATGTTCAAACTCTAAGGTGGGGTCAATTTTCAACTTGTTGAGGTCATCATGGGTAAGAAAAAAATATCCAGCTGTTGCAAAATGACCCCATGTATAAATACAACGCCTTTTGGTATCAATTTTCAACTTTGAAAAATAACCCCCGGTTCAATATTGAACCCCGGGTGAATTTTTAACTCGGGTCGATATTTAACGTTACAACGGCAGACCAACCGAAAGACCGACGGCAGGAAAGCAATATACTATCCCTTCCTCGAAGGAGGGACATTAAACTATGAAAAATATGCATTTATAAGTTAAACATACATTCTTTATTAGGAAATGTACACAAAACGCATGGTATGTGTCACATTACATGTTTTTTACATTGCAATACAAGGGATCACGTGTCTTTAGCCAGGGAATTAGCCTACTTAAGAATTGTATCCACCAATTAATGATACAAAAAGGATATCAGTCATAAATCGCCCTTCACTTTGTCGTTGAGAAGCCTATAAGAAGCTTATCATTTAACAAATGTCTCGTTTGTAATTTGAAACAGGATATTAATAAGAACTAGACCTTATTTTTGTCGTTCAACAAAAACGGAGGGCTTTTCGACCCCTAAAAATTAATAATCTTAAAGTAAATTGATTATTACATAATGAAATTTCAAAAGATTCATTATGCTTTAAGTTTTGGTGATATCAATAATGAATCATTACAACTCACTATATTCATCAACAGCTACTCAAAGAGATATAACCTTTTCATGATTATTCAAAAAATGCAAAAAAAAAAAAAAAAAAAAAAAAAAAAACCGACTGTTTTTCAATTCACTAAAACTCCTATAAGGAGTCATAAATTGACCGTATCGGAACGTATTTCTTTAACTGCCCCTCCTCAGCTAAACTCAAAACCGAAATCACTTGGAATACTGATTGGTAAATAAAAAAGTTACAGGCAAAAAACTATTTTCTGTACTGACCCCTAAAATCCCTTTAATTTTAAGAAATTTTATTTTCATGACCTAATTACCCAAAGACAATGCTAGAGTCATTATTCATGTTAAATATCACGAGAATTGCTTGCTTGACTTTTGAGATAATAAAACATACCTGATTGCAAATTTAACATAGAACTCTCCATAGGCAATTTTAAGGCTCTCGTAGAACCGGAAATACTCTTCATATCCATACTAATAGTAAAACTTAGAAAACATACTTAGAAAGCATAAAAGACTCAAAAATTTTTGACAAAGGGAGATAATTCTTACGCAATTATTCTTGAAATTACTTAAAAATACAAAATTTCAGATCTCTAAAACACCTATAAGGGATCAAAAAGTGACCCCACGGACCATAATTTTTACATTGCTCTTCTTATGCTGAACTCAAAACCGAAATCAGTTTGTAGATTGAAGGATAAATAAAAAAGTTATATACAAAAATCTATTTTCCGTACTGACCCCTAAAATCCCTTTTATTTTGAGAAATATTATTTTCATGACCTAACGAGCCTAAGGCAATACTAAAGTAATTATTCATGTGAAATATCATAAGACTTGCTTGCTTCCCTTTGAAAATAATGGACATTGCATGATTTCAAATTTAACATAGAAATCTCCATAGGCAATTTTAAGGTACTTGTTAAACCAGAAGTACTCTGCATATCCATACCAAAATTGAAACATAGAGAACATATTAGACTCCAAACAGGTTGACAAAGGGAGATAACTCTTGCACAAATATTTTTTCAAAAACTTAAAAATACAAAATTTCAGGTCTCTAAAAGTCGTTTAAGGGGTCAAAAAGTGACCCCACGGACCATAATTTTTAAATTACCCTTGTTCCGCTTAACTCAAAACCGAAAACAGTTTGAAGATCTATGGACAAATAAAAAAGTAATAAACAAAAAACTATTTTCTGTACTGACCCCTAAAATCCCTTTTATTTTAAGAAATTTCATTTTCATGACCTAAGCACCGAAAGACAATGCTAAAGTAGTTTTTTTTATGTCAAATATTATGAGACTTGCTTGCTTCCCTTTGAAAGTAATGGAGATCGTATGATTTCAAATTTAAGATTGTAATCTCCATAGGCAATTTTAAGGTTCTTATAAAACCTGAAGTACTCTACATATCAATACCAAAATTGAAACATAGAGAGCATATTAGACTCCAAATAGTTTAACAAAGGGAGATAACTCTTGCGCAATTATTTTTGAAAATACTTTAAAATACAAAATTTCAGGTCTCTAAAAGTCCTTTAAGGGGTCAAAAAGTGACCCCACGGACCATAATTTTTAAATTGCCCTTCTTATGTTTAACTCAAAACTAAAATCAGTTTGTAGATTGGTTGACAAATAAAAAAGTTACAGGCAAAAAACGATTTTTCTGTTCTGACCCCTAAAATCCCTTTTATCTGCAGGAACCTTGTTTCATGACCTACCTACCGGAAGACAATACTAAAGTTATTATTCATGTATAATATCACAAGAATTGCTTGCTTCCCTTTTGAGATAATAGGCATCGTATGATTTCAAATTTAACATAGAAATCTCCATAGGCAATTTTAAGGTACTTATAAAACCGGAAGTACTCTGCATATCCATACCAAAATTGAAACATAAAGAGCATATAAGACATCAAACTGTTTGACAAAGGGAGATAACTCTTGCACAATTATTTTTGAAAATACTTAAAAATAAAAAAATTCAGGTCTCTAAAAGTCCTTTAAGGGGTCAAAAAGTGACCCACGGACCATAATTTTTAAATTGTACTTTTTATGCTTAACTCAAAACTGAAATCAGTTTGAAGATTGGTTGACAAATAAAAAAGTTACAGGGCAAAAATGATTTTAAGAGTTGACCCCTAAAAGTCCCTAATTTCAAGGGATTTAATTTTCATAACCTTTTCGGCTCCAGACAATGCAGAATTAATTATTACCTGTAAATATTACTAGAATTGCTTGCTCTCCTTTTGAGATAATGGACCATGCAAGATTTATTTTTACTATAGAAACTCCCATAGACAATTTCAAAGACTTATAGAACCGGAAGTTCTGGTCTAGTGGACTTGAAACTTAAATTACAGACTTTAATTACTTTGATAAACAATACATAATCCTCAAAATAAATTTCCTACATTGTTTACAAATTATTTAATTTCAATCCCCCCATTTCTTAACTTTGGAGCCCTATAACACAAAAATATACCATAGGTGCAAAAACGCAAACGATAACTTTTTTGTAGATATTACTTTGAGGAACACATTCCTAAAATTTGAACGAATTTTCATGTAAAATAAGGAATATTTTTGGCTTTAAAGAAAATGTAGTTTTTGACTTATAAATACCGGAAGTGGCGTTTCCGGAAGTACAAAACCTTACTTATGGGACACTTTTAGTTATGCTATCTAATGGTATTGTTATAAATTACATGTATCCAGTGATGCTCTTTGAAACACGAACATAAATCTGGTAGGTATAATAATAATAACTAGACCTTATTTTTGTCGTTCAACAAAAACGGAGGGCTTTTCGACCCCTTAAAATAAAGAATCTTAAAATAAAAATCAATATTTTTAATAAAAAAAATCTTATAATACAATATTGCAAAAGTTCTTTTGAGATCAATATTTGATTGGAAACATAACAATTCTCTTTGTACATCAGTGTCTACTCAAAGAGACATAACTCTTTCGTGGTTATTAAATAGATTCGAAAATGTACTCTTTTTCAATCCACTAAAACTCCTATAAGGGGTTAAAAGTGACCCCACGGCCCATAATTTTTAAACAGTACTCTTTATACCTCATGTAATGTCAAAATAAGTTTGAAGATTGGTTGACCAAGAGAATTAAAAATGTTACAGAGAAAAAACCGTTTTCTGTACTGACCCCTAGAATCCTTTCTATTTTAGGGATTTTTATTCTCATGACCTTAGCACCTGGAGACATTACTAGAGTCAATATTAATATGAATTTTCACGAGACTTGGTTGCCTAGCTTCTGAGATAATGGAACAATCATCAAATTTAACATAGAAATCTCCATAGGCAAATTTAAGGTACTTATAAAACCTGAAGTACACCTCATATGCATACCAAAATTGAAACATAGAGAGCATATTAGACTTCAAACAGTTTGACAAAGTGAGATACCTCTTGCAAGATTATTTTTGGAAATACTTAAAAATACAAAATTTCAGGTCTCTAAAAGTCCTTTAAGGGGTCAAAAAGTGACCCCACGGACCATTATTTTTGAATTGCTCTTTTTATGCTTAACTCAAAACTGAAATCAGTTTGAAGATTGATTGACAAATAAAAACAATTATAGGCAAAAGTCTGTTTTTAATGTTTGCCCCTTAAAATCCCTAATTTTCCTGATTTTTATTTTCCGAGTATTTTCAGGTAGGAACATTATGAAGGTCACCCTAAACTCAAAATTTCACTAAAAAATTGTCATTACTTTAAGAGAAAAGATGTCATGCGTGATTTCAAATTAACATAGAACTCCCATAGACAATTTTCATAGACTATAAAACCGGAAGTTCTGCTCTGATTGTTATGAAACTTACAGGATATGCTCTACTAAATAGTTAAAACATATTTCTATGCTCAAAATAATTTTAGTAACGCAATTGTGACTTTAAAAAATTTCATCCCCCCTTTTTCAATGTTTGAAGTCTTATATCTCGAAAATTATCTTTTGTATAAAGTTACATACGCGCACGTTTTTATTAGATAAGGTCCCTAGAATTTATATTTTAAATTTGGGAGTATAGACACTAAAATTAAAAATGTTTTGGGCTTCTTTAGTAATTTCAGTTTTTCTCCGGTAGAAACCGGAAGTGACGTATCCCAGAAACCAAAACATTACACACAAGAGACAGTTGCATGTTCTTGAAGATGGTTATAAAATAAAATGTGTATCTTAAAAAGTTTTTCTTAAATCTTGACAGAAAAGTGTTCAGCATAATAATAATAAAAAAGACGAAAACAATAGGTCTTTTCGACAAAAGTCGAAAAACCCTAATAATAAAACAAGACGAAAACAATAGGGCTTTTCGCCTGAAAGCGAAAAGCCCTAATAAAAAGGAACATATTACATTTCATCTATGAAACGCATGAAAAATAATCAATGTGCTTTTCCGATCGCTATAAATATTTTCAATTAGATAATGTAGAATTCCTGTAGTATCCGAAGTACCAATCATGTACATGTACAAGCTTGTCAAACCTAGGGTGTGCACATACTAACAGATCCTTTGCTAAGCGCTCGGTTGTAGTAGGGAATTTTTAAATAGAGATCTTAATAGCCGAAAACCAGGTCCTGATTGTCGAGTAAAGCTCTTGTTTTGAAGCCCTCCACCGGCATATGGCAATGCCACTATATTACTTAATCGGGATTTTGTATGGGACTTTGAAAACAGATTAGATAAAGTAACAACGGTTGTTTCGAGTTTGTTAATACATTCAATTCAGCAATGCTGTTTTGGAACAACTTATATAAAAACTACGAAATTGGCTACCATGGAATTAATTCGAAATTCGAAGACCTAAAAACCGATAAACCTATGAACTTTTAAGCCTATGACCTATCGACTATATATGGCAATTTACAAATACATATACTGCAGTATACAAATGTGGAAATATTTTACGATACAAATATCGATCCGTAGTAAGATCGTATGCAAGACATTGGAATTTCTTTTTGTGTCTTATGGAGTGTGACGCAGAAATATAGATTTAAATATTGTTAACCAATTATAAAGACATTCAATGGGTATATTCACGTTTACGTGCATTTAAAAGTATACACACACATTTAGGACATATTGAAAAGGATCTTTTATTGGGATAAAATCTTCAAGTATATACATGTATGTAAGAATTTGTACACTTATTTTAATGAATATTTGATTTATATAATATTTATCGAATACAATACCTTATATGTTCCAATAACCCAATATCCTTGAGGTACATGTATTTTGTTTATATCAAGCAAATTTCTATTCTGTTTCTTTTTAAATCTATGACTTTGTTGTGCATCACAGCCTTGCCAGTTAAAGAATATACATGACAGATTTTTAAAACGAAAAATAGTATTAAGAAAAACTTTCATTTTGCGTTTATGCGTTGGAAAAAATTTCATGATTTATTAGATATAGACTTAGAAAGGTTTACTGTTCCTAGAAATCTGGTCCCACTTCTTGGATTTCCTCTAGTCCTTGGATTATGAATTGCTCATAGATTTTATGAAGATCGAGCAATATATTCATTCTTTAATTTGAAATTTACATGTATCTACTTAAATGACTTGTTCCCTGTTTTTAATACATACAGATAATTTCGATAGATTTTGATTCAAAACATTTGTAAGAATTATGATTTATATCTGAAAAAAATTCTCAAAAATATCACTTAGAGATCATCAGGCTGAATTTTAGAAATACTAGTATGTTAAATAATGCGGAGGGATTCATAGTTTTCCAAAAAGTTTAACGTTGATGCATTATAAAGCCTTCTTAAAATTCATTCATATTGTCACTCATTACTTAAGCGGTACTTTAATTCATTCACGGCCTCAAATGAGGAATACATGCGAGTTCAAACATGAACAAAATTTAAAACATTTATAAAAAACACTTAAAAATAGTCAACACAATAGGAATACGGAAACAACCATCGACACAAGAGGTATGGGTGTCCTAACATTGCTTAAAAACTCTTTTCACAATTTTTACAGTATTTACTGTTATCATTCATATATAATTATTTCAACGAGTTAGAATGTACTCATTATGAATATAAAAGAAAAAGTAAAATATATTTCTGGTTTTCCATAAATCAAGGGGTAAATGTTTGATCTCCTGAGCCTTAACGAAGGGACAAAAACACACAACAAGTTGGATAAAAATCGTATCCAACGACAAATCATGGATAATTCATTTTATCCCATGTTTTATACATCACTGTCAATGTTTTACACTTTATTATACAGGATTCCACTTTATCCTACTTCATTACTCTAACGCACAATCATTGTAACGTCACAACTGTGGGATATCACAAACATGGAATGAAAGTTAAAACATCTTTTAAAAGAAGGGCAGGTGTGACCGGTCGACAGGCGATGGTAACTACTCAATCAATCTTTAATCATCTAAACGTTATTGTTCACTCAACTCAATATTCCTTATTACTCCAATAAACTTTTGAACGTAATAACTATTTATTATGATCATGTTTCGTGAAAATCCAATGTTCAAAATCCGAATTGTTTGAATGTTTGATATGAAGTCCATTTACTTTTGCAGATTATATTTGGAAGACATATTTCTATTATTGTCTTTAAGAGCTATCTGATGGATTGGATCTTTGTAATAAGTCTTTGTTTACTGGTAAGCTTTCTTTTTTACAAACTTCAATTCTATTTTCTTTGAACAGCAGTTAATTTTTATTAGTGAACACCTTGTAAATGCATCTGCGATAGAGTTAAAGAATGAAGCTTGTTCTAATCTATGTTATACAAAGATAATTTGAGGCAGTTTATGCCTTTGTGGTTTATAAGAAAATACGTCCCAAGTTATGTTGTATTGTATAACATAGATTAGAATAAACTTAGTTTTAATTATTCCTTATGATTTCAATGTAGACAATAAGACAATTGTTTCCTCAAAAAATATCTTCAAACTGATTATGTTTTAGAAGTAACGTCAAGCAGAGCAATGCGTTTTTGACGTAACTTAATGCAATATAGTGAAATTTGTTATAAGATATCAACTAAATATTTTATCCAATGAAATTCCGTGTTATAAATCTAATTGAAATATTCCTGTATGAGTGATTTTGATAAAAACATAGAGCTGTATTATCTGTTACATTTTAATTTTATGATCCATACAATGGTGAAGAAATTTTTGAGTTTCTTTGTAACGAACCTTGATCGTCAATATTCCAACTTACATAGAAACTGACTAGCATAAGAACTTCAATTACAAAAATTGTGTTGTTAAATACTTTATAGCTCACTTGAGATAAAAGCTCAAGTGAGCGTTTCTGATCACCCAATGTTTGTTTAGCTATCCGTTATCCCGTCTGTAAAACTTTTTACATTTTCATCTTCCCAAGAAACACTGGGCAAATAGTAACCAAATGTAATGCAAAGCATCTTTGGGAGAAAGTTGAGTTTTAATTGTTAAAATGACGCCAGGGTCCTGTCACAAAGGGGATTATCATGACAACATAAAAATATGTTCAGATATAGGGCATTTAAAACAACATTCTTCTCAAAAACCACTGATCCAGAAAAGCTGAAACATTCGTAGAAGTAGCCTGTCGTAGTTTTCATTCGAAATTGTTCAAATCATGACCAAGTTTAAAATTGAAATTAATATATAGAAATTCTAAACAAAATCTTCTCAAGAACCACTTGGCCACAAAATTTGAAACTTTTTGGCAGCATCCTTGGATAGTGTAGATTTCAAATTGTTGCAAATTTGACCCCAGTGAGGATTGGACCCCAATTGAGAAGCCAAATTTAACATTGAAATATATAGGAATTTTATTCTTTTATTCTTCAAAAATGTTCATCTCAAAACACTGGGTAATCAGAACCGAATGTGGAAGTATCCTTTGGATATTGGAAATTCTTAATTGTAAAATAATTACCCCTGGGGGTAGGTGGAGCCACAATATTTGTTAGAAACGGGGGATCTTGTAAAGAAGGAACAGTTATTCAGTATTCGATGTGGCAGATGGGCGTTTTCTTAAAAGATGGTATAGTAAAAGAGTATTTAAGGTGCTCATGTCTATAATACGTTTTAAAAGCTAAAGTTACAGTTTAGTCAAAATTTTTGTCAATGTTGACTTAAGAATTTCTAAAGGGTATATAGCTCAAACTATACTTTTAGAAATGCCTTTGATGTAAATTTTCAGGCTAAAGAAAATTCCTTTTATATTTTAGAAAAAAAATTAAAAATGGTTAGTATACTCGCACTTTCTAAAGAAAGTTCGGGTTTATTGTTGTTACTCATGTCCGTCCGTCCGTCCGTCCGTCCGTCCGTCCGTCCGTCTGTCACACTTTTCTTCCCTGAACTCCTCCTACATTTTACACAGTAGCTTATTCATCTTTTGGGAGATGGTTTGTGGGGTCATGTAGATGTGCAGTAAGGTTTTGGAATTTCGATTTTGCCCCGGGGGGTCAAATGGGGGTCGAAAAATGACGTTTTTTAAGCAAAAAGCTCCGTCTTCCCTGAACTCCTTCTACATTTTACTCAGCAGCCTAACCAGCTGTTGGGAGATGGTTGGTGGGGTCCTGTAGATGTGCAGTAAGGTTTTGGAATTTTGATTTTGCCCCAGGGGGTCAAATGGGGGTCCAAAAATGACGTTTTTTAAGCAAAAAGCTCTGTCTTCCCTGAACTCCTTCTACATTTTACTCAGCAGCCTAACCAGCTGTTGGGAGATAGTTGGTGGGGTCATGTAGATGTGCAGTAAGCTTTCAGAATTTTGATTTTGCCCCAGGGGGTCAAATGGGGGTCGAAAAATGACGTTTTTTAAGCAAAAAGCTCCGTCTTCCCTGAACTCCTCTTACATTTTACTCAGTAGCCTAATCATCTTTTGGGAGATGGTTGGTGGGGTCATGTAGATGTGCAGTAAGGTTTTGGAATTTAGATTTTGCCCCAGGGGGTCAAATGGGGGTCGAAAAATGACGTTTTTTGTCCAAAAAGCACCGTCTTCCCTGAACTCCTTCTACATTTTACTCAGTAGCCTAACCAGCTTTTGGGAGATGGTTGGTGGGGTCATGTAGATGTGCAGTAAGCTTTCGGAATTTTGATTTTGCCCCAGGGGGTCAAATGGGGGTCGAAAAATGACGTTTTTTAAGCAAAAAGCTCCGTCTTCCCTGAACTCCTCTTACATTTTACTCAGTAGCCTAATCATCTTTTGGGAGATGGTTGGTGGGGTCATGTAGATGTGCAGTAAGGTTTTGGAATTTCGATTTTGCCCCGGGGGGGGTCAAATGGGGGTCGAAAAATGACGTTTTTTGTCCAAAAAGCCCCGTCTTCCCTGAACTCCTTCTACATTTTACTCAGTAGCCTAATCATCTTTTGGGAGATGGTTGGTGGGGTCATGTAGATGTGCAGTAAGGTTTTGGAATTTTGATTTTGCCCTGGGGGATCAAATGGGAGTCGAAAAATGACGTTTTTTATGCAAAAAGCCCAGTCTTCCCTGAACTCCTCTTAAATTTTATTCAGCAGCCTAATCATCTTTTGGAAGATGGTTGGTGGGGTCATGTAGATGTGCAGTAAGGTTTTGGAATTTTGATTTTGCCCCGGGGGGTCAAATTTGGGTCGAAAAAATGACGTTTTTTTATGCAAAAAGCCCCGTCTTCCCTGAACTCCTCTTACATTTTATTCAGCAGCCTAATCATCTTTTGGGAGATGGTTGGTGGGGTCATGCAGATGTGCAGTTAGGTTTCGGAGTTTTGATTTTGCCCCGGGGGGTCTAATTAGGGTCGAAAAATGATGTTTTTATGGAAAAAGCCCCATCTTCCCAGAACTCCTCTTACATTTTATTCAGCATCCTAATCATCTTTGGGAGATGGTTGGTTGGGTCATGTAGATGTGCAGTTAGGTTTCGGAATGTTGATTTTGCCCGGGGGGGTCAAATGAGGGTTGAAAAATGACGTTTTTTATGGAAAAAGCCCAGTCTTCCCTAAACTCCTTTTTTGTTTTAAACAGTGGTCTTATCATCTTTTGGGAGAGTTCACTCTTTTGAAATTTTGTTAAAACATCAAGGTCAAGGGGTAAAAAAATCATAGCATGTTGGGAGCCTCTTGTTATGGGTAATGTTCACTTGAAATGTGAAAGTCAAATCTCTTCTCAATGAAAAGGAAATACAACATTAATGAAAACTAAGTTAAACTTCAAGGTCAAGGTCACAGAGTCAAAAAGTCATGATACATTTTGGAAGGTCTTATCACAGGTAATATGAATGCCCTTTCATTTATCTTTCAAAATGATCAATTCAAAGCAATTAATTTTTTTAAGGAAATTAGGTCAAACTTCAAGATCATGGGTAATGAAAATCATAGTGTATGTAGAATGGTATTGTCCCATTTAATACTAATACACATGTTTAATATAAAAGTCCTATCTCTTCTCATTCAAAATATACGACCATGATGACCAAGTTTAAATTTATTGTGACAGATGGGCAGATTGACAAACAAATGAGATTTAATGTACCCTACCTTTAGCAAAAATGGGGACAATAAATGTCTTCGCTGTTCTTGAGAAGAAGATTTATGTTGGAACAAGATGTGTTTGTGAAACACTACACGCCCGGCGGCAACCAAGTTAAAAAAACTTCTTTTAGCATATTGATCACAGTCAAGGTCACAAGGTCATTGACCATGGTGTCATTCGAAAGAACTTAATCAGTGGAGTATGCGTACTAAATATGAAGTCCCTATCTCCTATGGTTCAAAAGTTGTGGCAAAAAGTGTAAAGAGCTATTTTTAGCATATCCGTCACAGTCAAGGTCACAAGATCATTGACCTTGCCGTCGTTTGAAAGGACTCTATCGGTGGAGTATGCATACCAAATATGAAGTCCCTATCTCCTATGGTTCAAAAGTTATGACAAACAGTGGAAAAAGCTATTTTTAGAATATAGGTCACAGTCAAGGTCACAAAGTCATTGACCATGGTGTCATTTGAAAGAACTTAATCGGTGGAGTATGCATACCAAATATGAAGTCCTTATCTCTGATGGTTCAAAAGTTATGGCAAAAAGTGTAAAAAGCTATTTTTAGCATATAGGTCACAGTCAAGGTCACAAGATCATTGACCTTGATGTCATTCGAAAGGACTCTATTAGTGGAGTATGCATACCAAATATGAAGTCCCTATCTCCTATGGTTCAAAAGTTATGACAAACAGTGGAAAAAAATATTTTTAGCATTTAAGTCTTAGTCAAGGTCACAAGGTCATTCACCTTGAAGTCATTTGAAAGGACTTTATTAGTGGAGTATGCTTACTAAATATGAAGTCTCTATCCCTTATTGTTCAAAAGTTATGGCCAAGGTTAAAGTTGACAAACAGACAAACAGATAAACAGACAAACAGACAGGACAAAAACAATATACTCCCGGGATCTATCGATCCGGGCGCTTAAAAAGTACCCTGCATATTTAAATGTAAATTGGTTGAAATTAGCCCAGTGGTTCTTAAGAAGTTAATATGAAAAGTTTGCAGATAAACAGATGGACAGAAAACAGTATGCTTATAAATAGTTAATCAAGGTGCTTTGGGTAGCAAAATAAAGCTAAACTGGTATATCTAATTCATCCGCAGAGCTTAGTATATTTCAATATGCACAACCTTTTCAACTCTTATAATTATATTTCAAAATTTATATCACCATGTCTCATTCAAGGGAGAACTAGAGATATGACCAGATGTATATCTGTTGAATATAAAATATGTACATGTATTCTGTGTTTTTTTTAATAATTTGTTTGTTTGTTGTGACAGCAACTGTTATGGCAGCTTTTGGCAAAGGTTGAAGTTTCTCAAATGTAAGTCAAACTCCAAGGTCTAGGTCAAAGGGTCTAAATTGTTGGTATCAAAGGGAAAGTCTTGTCACAAGGAATACACATGTGAAAAAAGGGAGAAATCCCTAGAACTTCCTCACCTGTTCAAAAGTTATTGCCAAGGTTAAAGTTAAATTGGATTCAACTCTAAGGTCTAGGTCAAAAATAATTATACCTGTTGAAAGTTCACAATGATTACACATGTAAGAGCATGAAAGTCCTAGCACCACCTGTTCAAAACTTATGCAAGTTCAAGGTATTTTCTTGTAAAATTGGGTCAAACTCCAAGGTCAAGAGATCAAGAGGTCAAAATTGGTGGTACCCATTAAAAGGTTTTGCCAAAAGAAATTTACCTATGAAATATTGAAGCCATGTGTATAGTCCAATCCACTTAAAAAATATGGGCAAGGTTAAAGTTTCCAAAAGACAGTGGACAGACAAAAATACATAAACATAGGAAACAAAATATGTATAAATAGTCAAATGAAAAAAATTTCTACTATTATGGAGTCATAAGATCAATTGTCATTTCAGGTACAGGGAGTCAGTGGCTAGGGAGATCAGACCCCCCCCCCCCCCCCCAGGAATTAGCAGTTATTTAAATAAGACTATACATGTACTGTAGAGAATAAAAATGACTTTGGACATCCCCCCCTTAGAAAACAGGGACTCCACCATCATTGTTTTTATTATTATTTTTTATTTCCATCTCAGGAAATCTTGGGCTGATTTTTTTGACTGAGGTGTGACACCCCCCCCCTTTCTGAAAAAAAAATTCTGGATCTGCGTCTGTTATATACTGAATGTCCGCAACGGGAGATAACTTGACAATGTGAAATTTGTCGACTGTGGCATGCGATGATCTTTGACCATGTTGACCCTTTTTGAACTTCAACCTAACCATTTGCATTTATTTATTTTTATGAAATCTATACTAAATCTTGTACTTACCGAATGTCATAGGTCGTGACAACGAATTCATGAAATATAATTCAATTAAAACACAAATGATTTTAACTGACCACACTGCATCGTCAGCATACATGTGCTAAATAATCTCATTCGACAAACTTTGCTGATTCCGTTGCCAGTATGAATTGGCCGAGGTGTGCCGAGAGGTGATATCTATAAATATGGGAATGGATGACGCAAACCCAATGTGAATGTAGAAAATAAAACTGTTTAGTACAGGAACAAATTTCAAACTATCATAATAAACTAAACTATGTTTTTTAAAAAATGTGAGAGTGAGAGAGAGAGTGTGTGTGTGTGTGGGGGGGGGGGGGGGATAGGCATTGACAAATTAATCGGGTTGTATTTTCAATGGGTTTTTTTCCCGACCAAATACTAAAATCAGTTTGCACATTTTGATAAATTCATCAAAAACGCTTTGTATTAAAATAATATTTTATGTCGTTGAGAAAGTAAATTTAAAAAGTTCCAAGTTATGGGAAAATTATTTATAAGTAATTTACTTCAATCATTAATTTATTCTGTTATTTCAGACTGGTTATGAATTAAGTATTTTAAAATACATATGTGAGGCTCAGAGTTGATATGGTCATCTGAAAATTTTATGTTCAATTTGACGAATACATGTACGGTGATAATTATACAATTATTTTGACTTCTTCCTTGGAAAGTCCAATATGAATGAGTGTATATTTAGAGGCAAACACCATAGTGCGGGTATTACTGTCTCATGACAGCATCTAGTTTTTATTTATCGATGATAATTCGATGATTCAATTCAAGCGACACCTCGCCTTTCCACTTTAAATTTGAAGCAGTGCATAATAGATAATGTCTCATCTTGCAGAATTTCCTGTAACAAAATGAAACTTTTAAATAAACTTATATTATGTACTGCATTAAATTTAGCGTAAAGAGATATGTTTGATGAAGTTATTTTCATTTCTATTTCTTTTCTTAATCTTTAATAATTTTTTTCGGCAATTAAGGCTTTAAATACGTGTATGGCATGTCCTGCGTCAATAGAAACACTAATCTACGTCCCATCCTGCCCAAAGACTCTCGAGGAATGGAGACTACGAGCAGAATCCAAGAGGTGTTCACATGTGATGCAGAACTGCACAAGTCAGCAAAATTTTGTCTATCACTGTGTGATCAACAATTTCGCTAATGCAACAATGGAGGTTTGTGCAAAGGAGATCCACATCATCGGTAATAAAATTTTATTTTCTGTGAAAACTATCTACTGAAAGAAAATGTTATCATTTGAATTAGGAAACATTTCTAAGCTTAATGTATGTCAATTTATAATGAGTATTAATTGGAACATGTATCATGTGTATACGGTAATTTTCTAAAAATTTATTGTAGACAACAGATGTACTGAGTTTAATATCAAAGCCGAAAAAATAATAGAAAGCTACACAAAACGATGTCAGGGATATTGTCCATTTAAATACAACTCTACAGAAGCCTATAAGTGTATGTATAAAAGAGTATCCTTTTCATCGACACAGATAAGGCTTAACTGTGTTAGTGTTGTTGTAAAGCGGTAGTTTTGTTATATCTAGGTCGGACTTTCGTTTTAGTTCCTGTTGGCACATCAAACGTTTTTCGTTAAGCATTACTTTTTTGAATTCCTTTGACCTAATGCACTATATCAGAAGGGTATTCAAAGATGTGGAATCAGGTGCTTAGGAGAACCAAACATCTCCTGTCAACATGACACGTCCGTTGTGAGTACAAAGTATTGAACGAGAGGACACACTATTCTGTAGTCAAATCAAGTATGACAAAGCATTCTTAGAGTATGACAAAAGCATTCTTAGAGTATGACAAAAGCATTCTTAGAGTATGACAAAAGCATCCCCTTTTTCTCCTGTTATTTAATAAGACTCCGTATATAAAAAATTTTCCCCAACGTGTGGGTATTTCGATAATTGCTTGTTTATGACTAAAATGTCTTGGATAAAGTCGACCTACCTTACAAAGAAAGGCGCATTTCAATGTTACTAGATATACATGCATGCTATGCTAATTTTATACATGGTTAAAAAGAATTTTGAGCCAAAAATCAAACCTAGTGGAGCATTTATTTATTGCACCATGAACCCGATCGTAAACCCAGTTATGGTAAATTAGAAATGCGAGTTTTTCAAAAATCAATGAAGCGGAAAGAAATACAAATTTGACTTACTTCTTAATTCATCAAGATAATCCACACACAATAAGTAGGCTCATGACCTGCCAGCGTCTAATTGATATTAAAGGACATTTAGATGATATATTTTATCTGTGAATATCTGTATCATAAGACATCAGTAAATTTTACTGCGTTATTATGGAATATTGATAAATGTTAAATTTTATTGAAACAGATCAAATGTGTTATCCAGAAAATTACCAGAAAAACCCCAGTGGACATCCATCTAATAATACTGCAACATGGTAATGTTTTACGAAAATTCCTATTAAATTCAAAAACAACATTATCTCCTCTTTCCTTGAAGTAAGATTTTCTTAATTATCTGATTCAGTCATTCATAGATACTCTTGAGGACATAAGCAGCGTAGCTTGACATTTATTGTTTTTTCTCTGGGTTTGAGAAGTTAAAATTCTTAAAAGAATTTAATGACTGGACCCTTTTAATAGCTATACATGCTGTTGTGCACTACTTCCAAAATAATTAGACAAACGAAACATCTACACTATATGTGTAATAAGGTGCTTTAATACAAGTATTATTCTCTGAAAGATTTTCATCATTTTTTATCAAAACTCCTGGTAATGCATTCCTATTGTTTGTTTACACTAACATCTGACATCTGACACCTCAAACTTAAATATAGAATATCTCGAAAATGTATCAGAAGATGTCACCTTGCGTTTTTCCTTAAAGAGTTTTATACGCTTGATCATTTGTGTAATTCATCTGATATTTCTTTTTTTTTTAATTTCAATGTATTTGTTTTACAGTCCACCAAAAAATCAGGAACACATGTCCGCAGATTCAAACTTGGATATAATTTTTGGGATTTTATTTATTCTCTCCTTAATACTTGGATTCATATCACTGTTCATAATGCTTAGATACAAGAGAAAGATAAAGAAACTTAAAGGTATTTAGATTTATTGATACCAGTTCTGATTTTAATTTTTTTTTATTGAAAAGATTCATTAAGTAATGTACTGTTTGGGTTCAGGACTCTCTCTCTCTCTTGCTATTTCTCTCTCTCTCTCTCTCTCTCTCTCTCTCTCTCTCTCTCTCTCTCTCTCTCTCTCTCTCTGATTAGTTTCTGAGTGCAATTTTTTTCTTTAAAAGGAAAAACAGGCAAGAGAAGACCAGAAGAAAAGCCTTTGATTAAGTATGAAGGTAAAAAATATTTGAAAATCTGTCTAAAAAAAACAATTTACAATACCTCCCGTGGGGACTGTAAAAACAGAATGACAATTTTGCAGGAAAATGAGTGGTCCCTCTATTATACGTACCTTCTAGCATTTTTTAATCGAACTCCCTGGACGCTCTGAAGACATAGACGACATTCCTGTAAGAAGGATATGGAAATAACGAACAGTATTCAATATCAACGTCCATTAAACAAATATACAAAATAAGAGCAGAGCAAACACGGACCTCCGAAACATCAGAGGTGGGATCAAGTGCCATGGAGGAGTGAGCATCCCCTGCCGACCGGTCACACCCACCCTGTGCTCGTTGTCATAATCAGGAAATAACGGAAAAAATCCGTGGTCAATTCAGTGTATAAATAATGGACTAACAATTGGTATGAAAAACGTCAGTCAGCATTTTATTCAATGATAAATTGTATTTGCTGACAAGGTCATTGTATCGACCATAGAATTTACGAAATGATGACTTTAAACGAGACTGTTGATATTCTTGTTTCATCAACTTGCTTGTCAATAACTTACCTCGTTTAAGAAATTGTTCATACGTAGAGCATGCTCTTACGTATCGAATCAACTGAGATATAAATACTCCGTATGCAGGTGTTGAAGGTATATTGCTGCATAAGTAAGGGAAGTTGACGATAGAAAAGTTAAAGTCATCATGTTCATCATATAGCTTGGTGGTTAGATTACCATTAGTGTCTTTTTCAAGTAAAATATCCAAGTATGAAGCAGAAGTGTCGGACTCTGTGGTATCTTTTATCTTAAGCTCACCAGGATAAATCGTGTCGACGTAGGAATGGAAATTATCATTATTAATTGACAATTCGTCGTCGATATATCTAAATGTCGAGTTGAAGGCCAAAGCAAGTTTTTTTTTTGTTTGTTTGTTTTTTTTTTTTTTTTGTAAATCAGTCTCTTGTCGACATATGAAAATCATAACTATTGATAAAACATCATGAACATAGTCGATATATCTGAATATCGAATTGAAGGCTACAGTAAATAAGGGTATTTATCTTTAAAAAAGTTTAGAAAACTGTGACGCGCTGATACTATATAGTAACTTGTAAAGTCTGGATTATGTGACTTTAAATCTCTGAGTTTTTTTAAAGGTGTCTTTGAGAGTTCGTACATCTGATTTAAAAAAGAAAGAGAATTCAGTCTGAAGTTTCTTCTTTACAACAGTTGATGCCTTTGTAAGGAATAATGATTAAGATTGGTGGATCGTTCACTAGACTTAACAATCTTGTTTTTAAATTTAACTTTACTTTTTGAATATACTTTAAAGAATTGTGTACATGTTTGCATAGATCGATGTTTTAGATATATTTCAAAAGTATGGTTTTCCGTACAAACTGTAGTCTTTTTAGCTACAGAAGACGTCAATGTGAACAAAAATCAGTAAATGAGATTTTTCTCACTTTGTAAATAATCGAACTTTTCAATTTTATCATTTATGTATCATTTTGTATCTCTTTATGGATATTTGGCAATTTAAATGTTTAAACAATTCAGTTTGAGAAATATAATAAAAAGAAAGAAACTCCCTAAAATGATATCATGGTGTGTTAAACTAGAAATCTTATATATGTTACTATATCAACTATACATTTGTGAGAAGAGAATTACATCACTTAAAAAATCCAAGTACATTAACAACATATTTATATGCCAAAAAATATTTACTCAAGTCGATAAATTACGCAGAAATAGAATATGAATATTTTTCAAATTTTTCATTGAAACATCGATTGCAACCGAAACACGGCATTGTTTAAAACAAAAAATCTCCCATACGAAGTCTAATTAGTTTAAAGATTTTTAGATAGAGTTTATTTCTACTTTTGAACTATTTTCATCAGGTCTCTTGAAAACGTAAACAATACTATATAGATTAATCTTTTGATGCACGTTCAAAATTTCTTTTAGATGGCCGTAGAAAGAAAGATATCATGAGCATGATGAGCTACAACCAATGTGAAAATAAAGAAACAGGTAAATGTTGAAAACAAATTGTGCAATTTCTTTTTTAAGATTTTGTATTACTATATCTTTTTTAAATTTCGACTTATTAGTATTATAATTATTATTAATATGTTCTTCGGTGCGACCGTTGGGGCGAGCGCAGTTATTTACTACCAAAAACCATTATACTTTTTCTTGCACTGCCTATCCTCACTTTATTTTAAAAAAATAAATAAAAAGAAATTACTTCCCAGGCAAAGGGATCGAGATTCCGAACTTTTCGGAAGTTTCCGACAAATCGGAAATACCCGAGCCGTTTAAGTGACGAAAGTATGGCGTCAATAAAAAGTCCTGTTGACTTAGAACACAAACGATCGTTTTGTGGCATGGAGATTGCATTAAATCGTTGTTTGTATTTTTTTTTCAAGTAAGTTGTTGCTATGTTTTAGTCACCATGTTGCTATGCACCGCAGAGGATTATTGGGAGTTTGGAATTTTTTTACGCGGTGAAATTAAAATTTCTTGGAACAATATGCAGATTTAAACCCGAATTTCCTCCGTTCGTACGCGTTAGTCTATTGAGCTCGCTGCGCTCGCTTTTATTATTATTATTACAAGACTTTATTTTAGTCTGGTCCTGATTTATAAAAAGAAGGCTGGAAATAACTTCTAACGGCAAATAATTATAATTTGGTCCAGCATAGTTTTTTTTAACCTAATTCGAGTATGCTAAATCCGAAACAATATGCTGGCCTTCATGGAAAAGGCGTTAAAGAATCAAAATGGCGATTTAAAATGGCGGACATCCAATTTTTCTAATTTTCTATTAATGTCGTTAAAAATGGAGAAGTAATGAGTGAATATCTTACCGACTGTAGTAAAACTATAAAAAATATAATAAAATGCTAACATTATTGGTTTAACTTAGAAAATTTAGCCGTTTTTTTACTTAATTCGAATTTTCTCTGATTTATTTGTCTATTGTTTCTTTATTGTCCTTTGTCTAGGATTTTAAATTTGCAAATATCCATACACTGCAGATTTGTATTTTTTCCTCTACATCTCACTATTCTACAGTTGAATAATGGTGCAGCTG